CTTCAATGGAGTAATCGACACAGCCCAAGATAGAAGCAACAACGATCACACAAGAAAAAGGGAAAGGAAAAAAAGAGGAGGAACCCTACCAAAAACGATAACAAACATGATGTCAGAGCTGAATCTGGAAGATGTCTGGAGAAGGAAAAACGAAGGAAAGAAAGATTTCACATATTATTCGGCCAGACACGAAACATGGTCTAGAATTGATATGGCCTGGATATCAAAATCCCTAGTTACAGAGGTAGAAGAGGTAAATATCCTACCAAGAATGGAATCAGACCATTGTCCTATAGAAATTAAAATAAAATTTGAAGAGAAAACCAAAAGATGGAGATTAGATGATAATTTATTGAGAAGTGAAGAAGACGTGGAAAAGAACAGGAAATTATTAAAGGAATACCTCGATATAAATGACATCCAAGAAACACATTCGTTCATAGTATGGGAGGCGAGCAAAGTGGTGATGAGAGGTAATTTTATACAACAAAAAGCAATAAAAAACAAAATTAAAAAGAAAAAAGAAAAAGAAATAATGAATAAAATCACACAAGAAGAAACTAATCTAAAGAAAAAGCCAAGAAATAAAGAAATTATTGAAAATTTGATCCGACTACAAAAACAGAGAGAATTCCTAGAACAAGAGGAAAGGGCGAAACAATTGAAATTCTCAAGACAAGACCATTTCGAAAATTCAAATAAACCAGGGAGATGGCTATTGAACAAATTGAGGAAAAGAAGAGAAACAACATATATAACAAGGATAAAGGAAGGAGACATGACATACACACAAGCAGATAAAACATCAATTTGAAAACTTTTTCCAAAAATTGTATAAAGAAGAAAAAATAGACAAAAATGCGATCTACAAATATCTAGGGGGAAAAAATATACCACATATAACAGAAGAACAAAGAGAAACGCTGAACAGCGAAATATCCGAAAAAGAAATTAAAAAGGCAATAAATGAACTGAAAAAAGACAAAGCTCCGGGCCCAGATGGGCTAACGGCCACATATTATAAAACATTTCAAGAGGAACTGACTCCCCTGCTCAAGAGAGTAATGAATGAAATTAGAGACAAAAAAGAAATGCCCCAAACATGGAGACAAGCCCTGATAACTCTAATACATAAAGAAAACACAACCCCAGAAGACGTAAAAAATTACCGACCCATTTCATTATTAAATCTAGATTATAAATTATTTGGAAATATTATTGCAGAAAGATTAAAAAAAATACTGAGCGAAAGAATTAAAGAAGAACAAGCAGGTTTTTTACCTAAAAGATCACAAGCTGACAATGTTAGAACAATTATAAATCTTATAGAACATTATGGGAATAACATACAAAAGAAGGTAATGTTTCTAGCATTAGACGCTGAAAAAGCCTTCGACAACGTAAATTGGGATTTTATCAAAATTGTAATAAAAGAGATGGATATGGGTCACTATTTCGGTAATATAATTGAAGCAATATATAGCAATCAGGAAGCGAAACTTATAATAAACGGCCAACAAACTGAGACAATACATATCCAAAAAGGAACAAGACAAGGCTGCCCAATATCTCCGCTGATCTTCATCCTGACATTAGAAATCTTACTGGACAGAATTAGAGAAGATAAAGAAATCAAAGGAGTACGAATCCAAGGACATGACTATAAGATAAGAGCGTTCGCGGACGACATTATTGGAATAATAGAAGAACCAAAAAACAATCTAGAAAAATGGCTAAAGACAATTAAAGATTATGGAGAAGTCTCAGGATTTAAGATCAATTTAGAAAAGACCAAAGCAATAACAAAAAACATCACAAAGAAAGAACAGGAAAAAATTGGGAAAGATTGGAATATCCAAATTACACAAAAAATAAAATACTTGGGAATAATCCTCACGGCTAAAAATCTGCAACTATTGGAAAATAACTACATAGAAAAATGGAAAAAAATAAAAAAAGACCTGGAAAAATGGGGAAACATGAAATTATCCTTATTAGGAAGAATAGCAGCGGTGAAAATGTCAATCCTGCCAAAATTAGTGTTTCTATTTCAAAATTTGCCAATAATTAGATGCCAAAAAATAATTAATAATTGGAAAAAAGACATAATGAGATTTATCTGGCAGAAGAAAACACCAAGAATAAATTACAAAAACATGACAGAAGGGAAAATCAAAGGAGGTCTAGCTACCCCGAATATCAAATTGTATCATGACGCGTGCGCTCTTATCTGGATAAGAGATTGGGCAAAACTTAAGAAAGAGAAGATCTTAAACATAGAAGGAGAAGGACTGAGATCAGGATGGCACGCCTACTTAGGATATGACAAATCCAGTAAAGAAAAAAATTTGGTAACCATTTCGTGCGTTCATCCTTAATCAAGGTGTGGAATAGATACAAAGATAAATTTTACAAAAAAACTCCACTATGGCTGTCGCCACTTGAAGCCTCCCAAAGTAGAATTCTGGGATGGAATGACTGGCCCAACTACAAGGACATAATAAGAAAAGAAAGAGGAGAATTCAAGATTAAAACCCAACAAGAACTAAAAGACATAAATAGCAAAATCTCATGGTACCAATACGAACAAATTAAACAACATTTCAAGAGAGATAAAGAAAAAGGATTTGAAGAAGGTCCCTGTTTTTGGGACAAAATAATGCAATCAGAAAACAAATTAATTTCCAAAATATACAAAAAACTACTAGAGGAAGAAGGAGACGCAGGAAAAGAAAAAACTTACATGAAGAAGTGGAGGGAAAACATAGGAAGAGAGATAAAAAAAGAAGAATGGGAAGAAGTTTGGAATAAGAAGTTAAAATATTCAAAGGCAATGGAACTCAAAGAAAATTGGTTTAAGGTAGCTTACAGGTGGTATATAACGCCCCACAGACTAGGGAAATTCAATAAAAATACGAACACCAAATGTTGGAAATGCGGAAAACAGGAAGGGACATATTACCACCTATGGTGGACCTGCCCAAAAGCAACAAACTATTGGAGAAAAATACAAAAAACATTACAAAAAATATTGAAGACTGACATACCGTGGAAACCCGAAACCTTCTTATTAGGGATACACAATATAAAATTGGAAAAAAAACAAAGATAAAATACTATTCTGCAGCCAGAATAGTCTATGCAAGACATTGGAAAGGAAAAGATCCTCCAGATGAAGAGGAATGGTTAACGAAAATCCTTGATATAAGAAATATGGACAAATTAACATACATACTCTCTAAAAGAAAGGGCACTCCAACAGCTGAAACAGATTGGAAAGATGTAACATCATATTTAGCAGAAGGAAAAAATATGGAAATACTCACATGAAAGAAGTTGAAGGAAAGGACAAATAAGGGGAGAGCGGAAAAGAGACGAAGAGAGAAAGCAAGAAGAGGGAAAGAACGAAGGAATAGGAAGAACCTCCTAAAGATACCGGGAAGTCAACGACAGAACAGATCACATACACCCCATACCCCCAGCTTTTCCTCACAATTCCTTCCCAATTTCTTGTTTCTACACCCGGCACATTGTAGTTACAAATATGTCACCCGTTGTAAATACTCATTGCTCTCTATTCCTCTTCAAGCCTTTCAACCCCCCCCACCCCCCCCTACACCCCCTTCCCTACCCCTCCCATCAGACTTTTCATGTTTTTACTTTTTATGGAAAATTTAATAAAGATTATATTTTAATAATAACAAAAATTACAGCAGCAAAACAACAGAAGGGAAACAAACAGGCACATGAAATCACTCTCAACAAAAGATTCCCCCCAGGCGCTTCCAAGCCATTGAATGCTAATCAAGGTGATCAGCTGAAACATTCACAGCTAGCCCCAGCAAACAAAAGTCCTTTGTCTCACCCTGGTCATTCCACAGATATATAAACCCATTTTTCCTACTTCCAACAGACCTCACTACCTCTGAGGATGCTTGCCATAGATGCAGGCGAAACGTCAGGAGAAAAATTGCCTCCAGAACATGGCCATATAGCCTGGAAAAACCTACAACAACCCAGCGATTCCGGCCATGAAAGCCTTCGACAATACATATGATGTTGTTGTTTATTGTCTGCGTTTTTGGTTTGCGATTTTGGTTTTATTCTGCTGTAACTTGTTGTTTGGGCTTGGCCTCATGTAAGCCGTCCCGAGTCCCAATCAGGGAGATGGTAGCAAACTTCTCACAAGATTATTATTATTATTATTATTTAAAAACCACGGAGAAATTACACTGGTAACTACAGAGAATCACAGTCAAGAAAGCAAAAAGCAATCCATACTCCCATCTGCTTTCAATTCAATTTAAACACTAGCACCATAGATGCAATGCTGTTAGAAAGAGGTCCATTGTATGGCTGTCTCTTTTGATGCCACCTTTTGGTGCCACAAAATGCTGAGTGTAGAAAATGCAGATGTCTTGAAAGGATTCAAGGCAATGCAGCATCGCGTTTCAAAGCTTCAACACATGCCCATTAGTCCACCCCACCCCAATGCATGCAACTGCTGCATATTGATACAGGGTTTTTTCCCCAGGAGATACATTGTGAGCAGAACAAGGTTAAAGAGTGAGAATGTTGTAAACATGAAATCTGGTATCCTACATTAATATATTTTCATTTATGGCACTAAGGAGTATAATTCATGCTGTGTTAAGGAGTATAAATCATTTTGTGTTGAATTTTTAACCTTACAAAACTAACAAATCATTTTAAACATTTTACTGAAAGTAGTGTTTAGAATCTGAACTATACATGGTCTAAAAATGGGAGAAAAGCTAGAATGGTGAGCTATGCTTTTAGATAAGAAAGTGGTTGATGTAACATTTTAAATTTTCCTTCATCAGCAAATTCCACAATCATATTTGAAAGAAAACTATAAATGGAAACCAGTCTAAAGTAAGCACTTCTCCCAAGGTTTTTTAACACTGAAGCCATATGGAAGAGAGAAGAAATCTAAAATGCAGAAAATGTTAAAACTAATAACAACAACATGTACTTGCCTCTGTTGCTATGGATGTGAAGTTACTGGCAAACCTGATGTGTTTTGCAAGAGGTTCTGTATTAGTTGAAATCACTTCATGGTCAAGATGATATTCTGGCATAGCTCCGACTAGTACAATAAGCATAGACTGGAAGGCCACAAACACCTTTAAAATAAAACAAAGGTAATTTAGGATGAATAGAATCATAGAATCATAGAGTTGGAAGAGATCTCATGGGCCATTCAGTCCAACCCCCTGCCAAGAAACAGGAATACTGCATTCAAAGCACCCCTGACAGATGGCCATCCAACCTCTGTTTAAAAGCTTCCAAAGAAGGAGCCTCCACCACACTCCGGGTCAGAGAGTTCCACTGCTGAACGGCTCTCACAGTCAGGAAGTTCTTCTTCACGTTCAGGCAGAATCTCCTTTCTTGTAGTTTGAAGCTACTGTTCCGTGTCCTAGTCTCCAGGGAAGCAGAAAACAAGCTTGCTCCCTCCTCCCTATGACTTCCTCTCACTTATTTATACATTGCTATATCGCCTCTCAGCCTTCTCTTCTTCAGGCTAAATAATCAGATAAATATACTGGCCTGATGCCAACACTGCCAAATCTTAATGTGCCCAAAGAAAGAGAACTCAGAATCAGACATGTAGTCGGGGGGGGGGGGCTTGAGGTGCTTCAGCCCCCCCCCCCCCCGAAATTCTCAGGGTGGTCCACGAGAAGGCCTTACTGGTACGTGGCACAGTAGTGTCCCTGTCTGCGCCTGGGCCCTCGGTGCACTCTCTTTCCTTTTTGGTGCCTCTGGTTTCGGCCTTCGGTGCTGGGAGAGAAAGGGGAGTGTGCCGACAGCTGAGGCGCCAAAGAGGATGCCACCACACCACAGACAATTCAGAAGCCGCAATAAGCCTTCGTGCCCGTGCACTCGGCAGGCCTTTGCGCCTGTGCGTTGAAGTCTCATCACACTCTCTGGATCCAGGTAAACAACAACTCCCATTTGAAAAAGGGCACTCATTCCCCAATTCCTGCCTCGATGCGCAGGAACTGTGCCAAGTTTAGTCCAGATCCAGCGTTGGCTTGGTTCAATGCCCTCTGGATAAAGACGCACTGCAACTCCCAGATCCAAGGTCAGTCACCCCCAATCCCCACCTGTACTGTATGCATAGTTGTCCATGTTTGGTTCAGATATGACGTTGGCTGCCTTCAGTGCTTTCTGGATCCAGGCAAACAACAACTACCATTTGAAAGGGGCAATAATTCCCCAATTTGGTCCAGATCCAGTGTTAGTTTGGTTCAATGCCCTGCTTTATTATTATTATTGATATTTTTGTTATTATTATTATTATTATTAAACAATTCTTCTACGTTAAAATGAAGTTAGTTATGCTACTAATATGCTGCCTCCAAAGGCAGAATATGTAATTTAGGGCCTGCATCTTTAAGAGTTGGGAAGGGGTAAGGAGCCCTAGCTTTAGAACTCTGGGAATGAAAATTAGAATGACGGTTGGGGATTTCTGTTCAGTTTAAGTTTAAGATTAGGCTTGAACAGAGGGTTATTGGTAGAGCATAAAAATCCACATCAAGTTGGAGTATTAGAAATATATAGAAGCATGTCACGTTGGAGTCATGGACATTTGTGTGAAATTCTTTTCAGTCTCGCTATAGCACATGAAGACAGAACAACTAACATGAAACAAAGCCAAAAGAGCATAACATCATTCTTTTAAAAGCCCAGAGAGGAAGACATTTCATCTAAAGTTAAAGGTAAGTTGAGTTTTATTCGGAATAACACTAAATTAACTATTTATCATGCATTGCTTGCTCAATCCTTTTTCTTTTAAAACTTGTATGTATCCTGATTTTGATCCATCTTTTAAAATATTATAATAGCATTTAGATCTATTAGGCAAGTACAAAACAATGAACTTCAATAGGTAAGAGAAAATTTGAGGCCTACTAGCCTAGTAGGCCTCAAATTTTCTCTTGCCTCTTGAAGTTCATTGTTTTGCCACAAGAGCAGCACTGACTGGCCTGTTAGTGCTGCCATCTATGGCGTGTTCAAGGAACAACTTGCACGATATGACTAGAATCACAGAATCATAGAGTTGGAAGAGAATCATAGAGTTGGCCGTCCAACCCCCTGCCAAGAAGCAGGAATATTGCTTTCAAGCCATTCCTAACAGATGGCCATCCCCAGCCTCTGTTTAAAAGCTTCCAAAGGAGCCTCCCCCACACTCTGGGGCAGAGAGTTCCACTGCTGAACGGCTCTCACAGTCAGGAAGTTCTTCCTAATGTACAGCTGGTATCTCCTTTCTTGTAGTTTGAAGCCATTGTTCCGCTTCCTAGTCTCCAGGGCAGCAGAAAACAAGCTTGCTTTCTTGTCCCTATGACTTCCTCTCACATATTTATACATGGCTATTTATTTATTAAAACTTTTATATCCCAGTCTTCTCTACCTACGTAGAGGGACTCAAGACCGGTTATCACTAGACACAGTATGTTTCACTAGCTTCTTTTGTACTGTTAAGTTGTAAATATTGTAGAACAATCTGAGATATATAAAACATACAATTTGTTGTCGAAGGCTTTCATGGTCGGAATCACTGGGTTGCTGTGAGTTTTCCGAGCTGTATGGCCATGTTCCAGAAGCATTCTCTCCTGACGTTTCGCCCACATCTGTGGCAGGCATCCTCAGAGGTTTGGGGTCTGTTGGAAACTAGGACAAGTGAGGTTTATATATCTGTGGAATGTCCAGGGAGGGAGAAAGAACTCTTTTTTTCCAATGTTTTTTTATTGAGAATAGAGGTGGTCTCCCTGAAGAAGGGAGCAGAAAAAGTGGTGATAAAAGTATTTTTTTACATAAAAAGAGTGGGAACAATATGGGCGTAGGAAAGATATGAAATTTGAGGCATTTATACAATAGGTAAGCCCAGTGTAAAAAAGAAAAGAAAAACAAACAAAAACACAAACCAAAAACAAACAAACAAACAGCAAGAACTTAAGGGGAGAGAAAAAAAACGAAGGAGAAAGCACTTCCAGGTCGCCTCAGGATGTGGATTTCTTTTGTTTTACTCCTTCTTATTTGTTTTCGTTGTCGGATTCTTAGAGATCGTTCCATTGAGTTTCATTTATGTTTTGATAACATAGCTTCCTATGTTTTTCTCTTTTATGAATTCTATAACTTTCCTCCAGTCTGTTCTATGGGGATTGACTGACAATTTTTGGGTAAGCATGTCCATATTCACGGTGTCCATAACTTTTAGGATCCATTGTTCTATTGTGGGTATTTCCTTAGATTTCCACATTTTGGCTACAGTTATTCTGGCGGTTGTAATTAAATGGGGAAAAAAATATCCGAATTTTTGTCCATTGGGAAGTCTGTGATCCCTAAAAGAAAATATTCAGGTTTAAAGTCGAATTTTTGTGATAAAATTGTTCCTATATCTTTATATACTTGGGAGCCAGATTTTTTTAATTTTCTTACAGTTCCACCACATGTGGAACAGGTTGCCTATATGTTTGTCGCATTTCCAGTATTTTTCTTTTATTTTGCCTTTACTGAACTTTGCTATTTTTTCGGGGGTCAAATACCACCTATAGAACAATTTATACCAGTTCTCTTTGAGTTCTATCAAATATGTGTATTTCAGTTTATTTTGCCATATCTCCTCCCACTCTGACATTTTTATTGGACGTTTTGTGTCCTTAGCCCATTTTACCATATTTTCTTTCACCTGCTCTGATTCTGTAGACCATTTTAGTAATTGGTGATATATTTTTCTTATTATTTTTGTATCAGATTGTAGTATCTTGTCCCAGACGGTGTCCTTTGTTTCAAAACCTACTTTATTGTCTATTTTAAAGTTTTCTTTAATTTGCCAGTATTGGAACCATGACAGCGAGGGGTCAATTGATGTTAGTTCTTCTAGTGTTTTTAATTCTGTGTATTGAATATTCATTTTTAATAATTGTCTGTATGACGGCCATTTTTCTCTGGGCAACTCCCTCATTTGTTCCGCTTCATTGGGGGAGAACCACAATTGCGTTTTTGAGTATAGTCTTCCTTTGTACTTATTCCATGTTTGGATAAGCGCTGCTCTTGTAAGATGGTTTTTAAATTTTCTTTCTTTCTTTGCCTTCCCTCTCCAGAGATAGCTGTGCCATCCCTGTATCAAATCAAAGCCTTCTAAGGCTAGTATTTTTCTCTTTTCTAGTAGAGACCAGTCTCTTATCCAAGATAAACTGGCTGCGTTGTAATATAATTGGAGATCTGGGAGTCCCAGGCCGCCTCTCTTCTTATCATCTGTTAAATTTTTATGGCTTATTCTGTGGTTTTTGCCTTTCCAGATAAAGTTTCCTATTTCTTTCTGCCACTTCTGAAACATTGCTTTGGATCTTATTATCAGAAGGGTTTGAAATAGGAAAAGCATATCTGGAAGAATACTCATCTTGATTGTAGCTATTTTCTCCATCAAGGAAAGATTTCTCCATGACTTTAATTTTTCTCTTATTGTTGACCATTTTTTTTCATAATACTTCCGGTATGACGGCGGCGCGGTTGTAGCGAAATTCCACCATGGTAGGAAAGAATTTGCAATCCGACCTTAAGCTTCCCCATCCAAACCCCCCGAAAACTGCTCCGTATTCCATCGACAAACCAGGGTCGCGAAGGCAGCCTTGGGGGTCAATTTGGAGGAGTGGGATTGCAGGAAGGGCTGAAGAAGGCTGGGAAGGAAGGAGGTAGAGCGACTGGGTCGCCGCCATTACTAGCCCTTGAGTGTGCTCCCTCCTCGCCTTATTTTTGCAACCACTGGCTTCTACATACCAACTCCACTGCTGTTGACAGGAGATGAAAATTACTGCCGTTCGAGTGGGCAGGCACGTGCCATCCTTCCGCTCTCTCTGCTCCGCTCCGTCTCGGGACTTGGAGGCGCGGCCTGGCTGGCTTGTTGCCACGGCGCCATTCCTTGATTCCAGGGGTGCAGGTTTGCCAGCTCGCTCCCTCACGGCCTCACAGCATTGCTCCACCGCTGCTCTGCTTCCACAGTTGCCTGACGCCCCGACTGGCTTCTCTCAGCCCTGGGAGCTAGAGACCTGGTGAGACCCGAAGACACGGATTGGCTTGGCTTGGCTGTTGCCGCATGGCCATACCTCACTTGCGGGTGTAG